CTGGTGGTTGTTCACCTGCATTTTTCCTCATGAGTTATGCTTTAGTTGTCAACTCGCCATTCTCTTCTCCTTCATCTCTCATGTGAGGAATGAGGGTTTATTTATAATTTATAAATCTCTTTGTACCAATTTTATCACATAGTTTCTTTAATTATTTCACTCTTATTCTATATCGGTGACAATGGCAAGTCTCTAACTAAATATCAGTTGAAATTTACGACATTAGTAGTGATTAATAGAAAGTGAACTGTAGGATGGAAGCTGCAAATTTAATATAAAAACTAATTCAAGTTGAATCTTGTTGTCTTATGATATAAAAGTGGTGAAGTTTCATTCGATTTACTAATTTACATGTCTCTTCAAGTAGGTCTTTTGTTCCCAAATAATTTCCATCTATTTTTTTTTTTGTGTCTAGTAGTAGGATTGAGGAAGTCTTAGATTTTTGGTTTTCTGATGCAAATATAATATGAGATGCATAAAATCATTCAACATTGCAGAAAATTTATGGGCATCAAACTCTTATATTTTAACAAATTCTATAAATGAAAATATAAAATATATCATGGAAACCAATAAGAAAATTTTTTGGTTTTCTGCTAGAAGTAATGGTTGCAAATTTAAGATCAGAAAAACAACCAAACACTTTGAAATCCTCACTTGTTGAAAATCAGGTTGATTAAAATTAATAACTCTCAAATAGATAACAAAATATAAATGACGAGTTAAAAGGGGAAGAATTCATAAAAAATAAGTAAGCAAATCTCTCTATTGTATGATAGTCTCTCCCGAAATAATTGAAAGCTAAAAGGAAGTTATGCACTCCCTTTAAATTTTATTTCATGCAGATGTTTTTACTTTGTTGTGCATAATCATAAAGCACGTTAGAAAGTTTCCCTTAATCAAACCTAATGGAATGAAACCTGAGAAAGAACCACAAAACTTGACAAAATTTGTCTACAAAGTCAATTCCTGAAGCCCCCACAATGGATAACTGGAGGTGTTGCCCTGAATAGATGTTGTAGGAGGAGGCCGACCGAAAATCCCAAAAAAGACTTGCCATAGAATTTATCCTTCTGAAGACTTTGATTGACAAGGAACCAAAAAGCCTGCTGAATAAAAGCTACGAGAGGGTTCATCACCAAAGGAAGCCGCATAACCTAGGCAATTGTAGCTGTAGGGAAATTTCCAGATTCTCATCACCTAGTTCCCCAAAAAGCTTTGGACTGTGGCTATTAAGTGTTTGGTATTCTTTTCTTCAGTTTGTTTCACGTTAGGTTTATTGGCCTCCTTAATTGCAGAAAATATTGGCTTGGTAAGCCAATCTATTGTTTAGTTTATTTGTCATTTGTTTCATACTTTTTATATTGAGGTTTTAAATGTTTGTTTTAGATAAATTAGTGATGAAAAACTTGGCTGGCTACTTTTCTTACATCCTGTGAAATGAATAGATTGATTTGGGATAAAGTGATGATTATTATGATGATTATTACAAAGTAAATTCCTTTTCTACAGGAATGGGAAAAAATCTTCTCTTGCTGTATTAAATCTCAATGCCTTGAAAATAATTCTTTCCTCGGTGTAGTAAGTTGAAAGACATGAATTGACACGACATTTTGAAACTCTTGAAAATATTAGTATATTTTGTTCGTTCCTCCGGACTAATAGTACACTCAATTACTTTTAACCTGATTGCACAAATTATTTATTTTATTTCTTTAATTATTTTATTTTTGTTTCCATTGTTTGGCAATAAAGAGAAAATTTAGCTACATAAGCATCATTTGTGTATCATGCTACACTTGTGAATGTGGTTTAAATAAAAGCGAACTATCAGAATGGCTTGCTAAAAAAATGTCCCCGAAGAAACTGATCATTTTGAGCATAATTTTCTTATTCTTACAGATTGTGTCACGATCCAACCCGATGCTTGGAATTAACTAAGACGAGAAAGGACGGTGGAAATAATTCTCTATTATTTATTTATGCAACTAACAGTTTGATATTCAAATATTCATGAAAAACCGCTAAAGAAAATAATTTAATTAACAAATAGAAATTTGTACATTTCAATTTGTTGTTCTCGCCTTCTATGCATATGTGCTTCTCTTCTATTCATCTTGTTCAAAAGCTTAAAACCTAAAAAAAGTTTTAAAACAATATAATGAGTTATGCCCATTAGTAATCACACTTCTAAACTAGAATAACTCAAAGAATAGAAATCAATATGCTTGCTGGTCTTTCATATATCTATAAGAAATTTTTTAATAGGATAGACTTTCATATTTTTATAAGAAATCTTATTCATGTTAATGCATGTATCGATGATTTTTATTTAATGAAAAATATTCTAAATTTCTATATGTATTATTATACCTTTATTATTATTTCATACACTTTACACACACATCTGTCTCTTTGAGGATCACCGTCAACAAAACTTAACACACCCTTGCTCGATATTATCCTGCCGACATAACGGTTAGTGATCTACACATCACAATTGTCTAGGGCGGAAAGTTGCTTACCTGTCCCTAGTCGATATTATACTGTCAACACAACGGTTTTGTTTGGTGAGGTAAGCGTTGGTCTACTTGCTCCTAACCGATATTATCCCGTAGCGCAACAATTAGTGATCGAACCATCACAATTGTATGAGGTGGTAGAAAAATCTCTACGCGCGCAGTTACTCTACGTTCTTTGCCTGTACTATTAAATGATAAACTCCTCATCTGAACATGCACGTATAAGCGTTCATATATAAGTTGTTTTATTCTTCATGACATACATTTTTCTCAGATATCTTCATGCATATACTAATATGCATATGTACTTTGCTGTGCAACTAATCATCATATATATCATGCATCTCTCATCTCATTTATAGCTCTTATCTCATGCATGTCTTTTATATCATGCATATCTTTCATTTCATTTGTATATCTTATTTCATACATATCTTTTATATTATGCATATCTTGTCTATTATGTCTATATTGCATGTCATGTCTATCATACATATCATGCATATTTTGTATATCTTTTCTATCTAACGATATAAAAAATCTAATTAAACTATAACATACATGGAGTCAAACATACATTTTGAAATAAAATAGATTACTGAAATTTAAAAATATAATTACTAACCTTGGTTTCCATGCCATATTCTTAATCTTTGATAACTAGCTAGACGATGTGGTAACTCATATATGAATAGTAACAATCTAGAACAAAAGTCAAGCTTAAAGATTTAAACAATTTCTGTTAATCAAATTATTCTTCTTAGCGTATGATTAAGTTGCTTGAATTTACAGAGCCGTCTTACTACTTGCTTCTACACGCTTGTCTCAAACTCGCCGACTTAGGTAAACAACCTGAAATCTGTAAATAATTTATAATTTGAGGATATCTAGGCGCATAAAAGGGATTTAACTAAAAACATAACTGACTAGCTTAAAATGTATCTTAAATGTACTTCATGTCAAAATCTAACCTACTTCGATCCTGCCAAATCTTTTTCCCTCTTTTTCCTATCATCTCAACCTGTCTCCTATCTCCGCTGATATCTTGTTAAGCTCTTACAAAAGTTCACAAGCCACTTTTAACACTTTTGGCACAAGTTCTGTGCCTCCGACTACCGAAAATGGAAAAACACACAAAATCGGGACAAATATAAAAACAAAAGAGTGAGAATAGAAATGAGTCCCAAGTAGCGTTAAAATCAGTTTCGTACCTTTTTATTTCACCCTCAGAGCCCTAAATTACCACATGCGACTTTGTGCTGGTCGCGCCTATCATGCGGCTTCGTGGGAGCAAGAAATCGGGAGAGGGAAATAGGCTTCAACACTTTGCGGCTAGTGCGACCTACTCTGTTCGCAACTTGGAGCTGTTCGTAGGAGAGAAGGGATGCGAAACTTAGCTGAGAGGAAGGGAAAAGGGTTTCGAAGCTTTGGAGTAAGGATCCCAACCCTTCAACCTAAATATTACGATAATGGGTCGGCTGGGAACAATAAAGCAGGACCAGGGAGGGTTAATTAAGGGTTAAATAAGTTTAATTAAACTTATAAATTCTAATTTTAAATCTTCCAATCTATTCATAATTTACATATAGTATTACATAGCAAATTAATCGTTTTAACTCGTAAAATTTTATAAAAATGATTCGGTTGAAATCTGAGACATGTATAATTAGGGGTGCATTTTAAATCACAAAAACATTTCCCTGATTTCTTAAAAATATATTATTACAGATGGTACATTCCTGCCTTTGGATTTGTTACTGGACATACCAATATCTCGATGTTGTGCTAGAGATGGACCTTGGACAAACACCAAAGCAAATGCTGCCAAACCTGCTGGCACTAAAGTTTGATCCTAGTTTGGACCCAGACCTTTGGGCAATAATGTTTTGGATTTTTGCTCTAAAGTTTTGGATTTTCTTCTTAGGCAGTTGTTCTACCATTAGGTGGATTGTCTCTCTTCCTCAAGAACAATTTGCTTAATCACATTACAGGAATTCCAATCTGTTTCTCTGTTAGCTTGTATTATGTGCTTTTTAGTTATGTTAAGGTTCTTTATATTTGTTTGCTTTTTAGTTATGTTAAGTTTCTTTATGCTTGTTTAAGATGAGTAAGTCACCATGGGGAAACTTGGCTGCCCATCTTTTCTGGTATAATTTCAAACGCAGTAGATTGGATTTGGGGTAACTTTAGATGATATTTATAATGTTGGATATGACGATGTAAACTTCTTTTCGACAAGAAAAATTGTCTTCCGTTCCTGCATTAATTCTCACTTTTTTAGTAATAGCTTTTTGATTTAATGATTGAGTATACCCTCTTATGATCTGTACAAGCAGTTATGTTTATCATTTGGTTCACTTAATATTTTAATGCTCGTCGTCTCATTATTAAGTTAGTGTTTCTCATCTCAGTTATTTTGCTTTTTGAAACTGCACGTTTATCTCTAACTTTATTTTTTTGCAAACCTTGTTGCAACAGTTGAGAGAGGCGTCCTTTTTTGCATTGGTTTCAGTTTCAGAACAGCTCATTGAAGCACAGGTGGTTCCTTTTCCAAGAAACCATACTTAAGCCTTTGGTCCTACGCGTAAGCTTTCCAACAAAGGAATGATTATGTCAAAAATGGAAAAATGGCAGCCAACAAAGAAAGGAATGAATAGGTCAAAAAATGGAAAAGTGTAAAACGAATGAAAACAGAGGAAAAATGACAGAAAGAATAAACAAAATATACACTACCTTAAATTGATGTTAAAATTATTTCCTTTTCCGTATAGCTTGTTCTGTTTCAAATCCACTCCACTCATGAAACTCAACCTTGACTTTTATAACTATAAAAATAATTCATCTGGGGGGAAGTGCTGAAAGCTATTAAAAACTTTCGAAGTGTTGGGATTTTCTTACATGTATCAAAATTCTTATGTATTTACTTGTGTAACTTATAAAATTTAATATTTATTTCCATTGCACATTAGTGCCTTAATCACATCTAACCATGTGCATGAAAAGGGACATTTCACCTTAAAAATTTGATATTAGTGTTTCTTTTTTTCGTGAATCAGGAATTTGAATGTTATACAGTCAAATATCAAAGTTTAGATGCTAAATGTGTAAATATATAAGAATTATGTGGTATTATCTATATGCGACTTCAGAGTATCTGATACATCTAATTTCTTAAGCATTGCTGCTAATCTTCTGCAGCATGCAAATGTACTAATTTTTTTAGCTTTGAGCTTGCTAGATATGCCTCTTGGATAATGTACTATCATCGGATTGCTTTCTTTGAACAATATTAGGTGCTGGGTTTGATTTGTAACCAACTTGTATCGAGTGTTAGCTTCTTTAATATTTTACTTTACCTCCTGATGGATTTGTTGGGCATGCTCAATAGGTTTTTCGGCCTTGTGATTGATGTTAACAAATTGAATACATTATGTCTGAGAGCAATACTAGATACACTCTAGTATATGCAACTTCAAAGGTTTCTTTTTGGGCGGAAAGATTTGGCATGATGTTAAAAACATTCTCCTTTTTTGGAAGGCAGCATCTTATCACTTCGATTTGTCACCACTAATGGATTAAATGTTGCTCCTATTGATGCTATCATTTACCTTTATTTGCTCATCCATTTGTGTGTCCTGCCTTGCTATATTGCAACGGCATATCAAACAATTTTAACAATGTTTGTCAAAAATTATTTAGGAGCTTTACATCTTGGATATGAAGTAGTTGAATGACTTATCTCATGCAAATGAATGTTCTCATGGAAAAAAAAGATGAGCAATGTGGGAGGCATCCAAGGTCTTATTACATGTAAGTAAGTGAACTATGTTAGACAAATATTTCGACCTCCGTGAAATTTAAATCAACATCTTATTGAATTTGAGGAAGAGTAAGAATAAAATTCATTGTTAAATTGTTTCCTAAATAGGTAAAAAAGTGTAAATATCTGAGTTATGAGCTTGACCTTTAACCCTTTGGTACACCATGCAGTGTTGCAAGAAACATCCAACATCCCTTTTTAATTTGAGGCCAGTCAAATCTTCCCCCTACCAAATTTATGGTTTTGGCATTGCCGATCTATCAACTTATTTCTTCATTGTGCTATCCTTTAATCGAGTGGTTCTTGCAGAGAGGATCAATTAATTGAATGTTATGTGCATTAGGGGTGTTTGATTGGATATTTGCAAAATACATTCATTTAGGAAATGCAAAGTAACTGTAATGCTTGCATTTTATAAATACATTTGTTTGGTTGGATGCAAAAAAAATACATTGGAGCATTTTATTTCTTGTTATGATATTTTCCCTATTCATTGAAATATGGATGGAGATGGGAGGGTGTCAAGGGGGTGTTTGATTGGATGTTTTCAAGCTACCAAATGCAAAGTAGCTCTAATACTTGCATTTTAGAAATGCATTTGTTTGGTTGGATGCAATACATTGAAATATTTTTTTTTTGTTATGATAGTTTTCAAAAGCATAGAAATATGGACACAAACAATAGCGTGTAATGCAGGGCAGCAACGGCGAAAAAGAATCGCGAGTGGCAGCAATGCAAAATTTAGAAATTGCCATAATTGGAAGATTTTTAACTATAGGATAACAAAGTGTTTTTTTTAGTATTTAAAATGCTCGATTGGACTTTTGCATGTAATTTCGGGAGTGATTCTAAGGATATGCATTTTATTCATGTCCTTTTGAGAAGTGAAATTTCAAAGTTTAAGTATCAATGAATAACCTAAATTCTTATCAAGAAGGTGTAAAATTATGTGTGTATTTAGTATTCGTCTATGAGGTGAGACGTCAGCCTCAAATTCAAAAAGGTGCATAGAGGAATATATATTGTATAAACATAAAAGTGTGTGAGTAAGAAATAACATATTAATATTCTAATACATTATCACATTCAAATGCAACGTATCAACATTCTTATAAAGCATAAAGTAAAAAAAAACATGTTTACATTCTAACATCAAATCAAGAAATAAGATGTGTTATACAAATATTAAACTGCCACATTAAGTTAAGATATCAAAGGAAACATTAAAATATGATAATATGACAATCAAATAATTTTAATATAATCATTGTGTGCTGAAAAATTTGCATCGATCTAGATATATTAATGTCTTAGTATTGTACGAAAATCTAGCATAAATAAAAAAATAATTTATATGGGAAACTCCAAATGTTTTTACGTAAAAAACCCAAAAGGGAAAAAATTATGGGGCCTAACCCAGTTGAAATGTTACTACTATTCAGATATATGTTACGAGACTTTTTCTACTCTTGAGTAATAAAAATAATGTTACAAGAATTGAAGAAAATATTTGGGAAGTGATATTGACCCGTCTGTGATGATGGAAGACTGATGACAGGGGATGTGTGACAAAGATTTGGATTTGTTAGCACTGTTGGTGGTGACCGCTAGACAATAGTGATCCAACAGCAGTAGTAGCGAGAACTAGTCGCCAATGATTTGATGATGGCAATTTGACATTAAGAGTGTACCTTGATGTTGTTGTGGTCAAACACCGGTGATCCAATGACAACAGTGGTGTCGATCGAGCGACATTGGTCCAGTAATTACAACGACCTAACAAAGATGGTCAGGTGCAACAACTTCGGTGGTCGAGATGATGATCCAACAACAACGTAGTATGCCATAACAAAGACTGTGACAGATGACCGTGACTTAGCATATTGACGACTGAGAGATGATGATCCGTCATAACGGCGTCTTGGAGATGATGATTCTACATATAGACGACTGAGAGAGAATGATTCGACAATGGCGATGATGAACCATAATTGAGGCGACTGTCTGGCGTCGGTGATTCGACATAACGGTGGCTGTGAGATGATGATGGTATTCTGGTGATGGCGGCATTTCGACGATCCAACAATAGTGGTCGAGTGGTGGCTCAATATCGATCGGGTGCTAGTCGACTTGTGACAGATGTATCTCACGCATCGCCATCTCAAGTACGGATGAGCCACATCTATTTAGTCATGAAAAAGAAGATTCTAGAAAATATTAGAAAGAAGAATAATAATCTCAAGAATTCTAGAAAGTTCAACAGCATTCCAGAAAAATGTTGGAAGAGGAAAGTTTCAAGAGAATTCTAGGATAGTCTAGAGAGTTCTATAATCATGTATATCTAAAGAATAATATTGAACCATGTGGAAGATAACCTATTCTAATGTAATCTAGAATATTCTCTAAGGCTTGAATGCAGACTATAAATAGAGGTCCCTTTCTAGGGCTATAATCGAGCCGAGCCAAGCTGAGCCGAGTATATTATTGTTTGGACTTGGCTTGGTATAATTATAAGTTGTTCATGTTCGACTTGAGCTTCTGTTGAGCTTTCATGCATTGTTCAAGCTGATTTTTTTAACTTTTTCAATGTTTGAACTTAATTTGTACTTAATTTATTTATGACAAGTGAACGCGTATTTAAATGAGCTAAAAATTCAAACGAGAGCTTATATTTTTATATAAAAAATTTAATAAGTAATTTTGCAATTCTAATTGCAACTATTATTTTGTCGATTATGACTTCTAAATTTTTTGAAGTTTAATAATTAACTGCATATTTCTTATTAATAGGGCTATGCTAGGTTAAAATATTTTAAGTGAAAGAACTAAATTGATCTTAAAATTTATAGGGATGATCATTTATTAAATCGTATTAATAAAAAAATAATAACAATAAGGCAATCCATATTAATATTGTTGGTAATTGCAGTGCGATGATCATAAAAGTGAACCCATTACATTCAAGTTTACAAAAACTACGCAAGAAAATTTTTTTATGACTCTTTAACTGTAAATATTCTATTCTAAATTACTATTCTCTTATTAATAAAATAAATATACGATTAATAATTTCACTAAAAGTATTATTGATATAATAATATATTACTATTAAATCTATGATTAAATAAATTCTAACTAATTAAATTTTATTTAAATAATATATCATATATATAATAATAGTTATTATCGAGCTTAATATCGAGTATTTAACAAGTTACTTGTTGAACGACAAATGAGTTTGTTCGTGAACATAAACAAACAAGTTTGACTATGTTTATTTTCAGTTCGTTTAAGCTTCGAGCTTTTAAAAATTGTTCAAACTTGTTTATTTACTAATTTGAACGAACATGATTGAGCCTTAATCGAGTCGAGTTGAAGATGTTCATTGAGTGCATTGGCTCTTTTATTGCCCTATCCTCCCCCTCAATTGTATTCTCCAAGATTTCTAAGCAACAAAGTGTGTAATCTCTCATTCCTTAGTGAAGTGTTCCTTTCTTCAACAACTTCTCCTTATTGCTTTCCTAAAAAAATTTGTTCTTCCAAGTCCAATCATTGCAAAGGTTAGACCGATTTTGTGCTTAAGAAGAGTGCTAAAGCCTCATAGGTGACTTGAGCGAAGTTTGTCCGTGACTGTTGGTATTAGAGTCAAGGTTAAAGACATCACAAAGAGTCTCAAAGAACATGTCATGGAGTCTGAGGAGACAAATATAGAGTCATC